AAAATATTACAAAAAAATATGGTAATATTGTGAAAAATAGATACCACTTGCAAAATATATGAAGATCGATCAACTTTTTCAATGATATCAACATTTTATATATTCCTCGAATGCGATATGTAACTCATAATCTAATGCAATTCCCTATTTCTTTGCTGCATAGATTTTCTGGAATTCAACTTTCTCAATTTCGATTGTAAATGACGCATTTATGTCGTATTAACATTTGAAAAAAAAATTATTAAGTAATATATTAAAGTTGTTTACTGTGAAATTAATTTATCACGAAATTATATACCATATACTTAGAAAACTTTCACAATAGACAAACTACGGATTGACTTTCATACAATAGTGATTTACACTTTTTAGTATTGAAATCTACCTCTTACAATCTTGGATTATTATAAATTAGTGTCATTCATTTAGAGTAAAAATCATATCAAATATTAGATTATGAATGCTTTACAATTTATAAATAAACATTTTCTCTATTAATATCAATACTTGAATTTTAGAATTAAGTTACTTTATTACCTTATTTATATTAAAATTTTGGTTATTATTGACTAGATATTGATAAAAACAAATGGAAAACATAATTGTGAAAAAGGTTTAACATTTTCATTTTAAATTTTATTAAACAACAAAATAATTTTTTTAAAAAGAACTTAACTAAAGTTTGTACTCACTCCATTTCGATTTATTTAATATTTATTTGACTTAAAATGAAGTTTTTTTTAAAAAAATACTTTTAAAATTGGTGGTCTAAAACAAACCATAGATGTTTATATGTGATATGACTAAAAATCTTCTTACTAAGAATAAAATGTACATCTAAAAGTCAAAATGTTATTTAATAAACTAATGCATCATTCTTTTGAAATTGACTACTGAGAAAAATATGTCACATAAATTAAAGTTAAAAGAAATAAATTTTCATAGTTTTAAAAGTTAATTAAATGATATCTCTACTCTTTTTTCAAATTATAAAAAAAATTCCTAGAATTAAAAAATTTAAATATATCAGCAGACATACAGATACATCGGTCATGATACATTGCCATTCAGAAAACTTGCAAACACATAGCTCACGGATGAATCCGAGAGTAAAGAGCTATATTTTAGAGAGAATATGGATGTACCCGAGAGGAGAGAGATGTATCCAAGAGACGATAGAGATGTATTGAAGAGGGGATGAAGATATACCCATTTAAAGTCACATTTCGTGAAACTTCAAATGGCCGTACATTTTTTCTCGAGCATCTTTTGGGGGTGATTATGTGCTTATTTTTTCGAGATCTACGAGGTAGACCCAATCCCTTTGACCGATTTGACTTTCGGTTTTCATTATAATTTTGCCATATATATGGGAAAAATCCGATAAATGTTAAACTATAAGACCTAAGGCAGTGTGTAATATTTTTCGCATAGATATCAAAAAAATTATCAGTTGAAAAAAAATCGGCTCGATCAGACATCGGATGCGCGTTTATGTCTGTCTGAAGTTCAAATTTTAACAAGTACACCTTTAAAATCGCATGCCAAATTTTTTGTGGACGTCTATGAAGACCTTCGCTATGCATCCGGTTGGCCATCACGGCAAGTTTGACCCATTTTAAAGGTCAACGAGCCCTGAAGCGTGCATACCCCCCTTTAGATGATTTTTGTGATTTATAGCAAACCATTTTTTGGGTGATCCAGATTCCGATGTGAAAAATGCTAAATGTATTTGAGAGAGGATATGTATGTTTCCGAGATGAGATAGTTATATATCTGACAGAGGATAGAGATGTGTCTGATAGGGTATTTTTGTAATTTTTTTAAAATGCTAATTTTTTTACAAATTATAATAATATAATATGTGAATTTAGGTGTAAAAAAATAAAATTGTAAAGATAATTAATTAAATTGGACCCATTAACGGGCCTTCAGTTATCTAGTTATTTATTATTATTTTTCTATTATATAGAAGAGTGAAGTGGTAGGACGACTATGGGTAAAAATGTAATTATATAATTATTAAAATCTTTTAATAAAGATATCTAGAGAAATAAATAATTCTAGAAACATCTCTTTGTATATGAAAGTAAATGGTAATCAAGGGTAAAAATGTAATTTCATACTTATAAAAATCTAACAAGAATAATAATAAGAAAATAAATAGTTCTAGTGACATCTTTGATTAATGTTATTTTTATCAACACATTTTGTTATCACTTCACATTTTTTATGAGTTATTGTGATATCTATTCATTACACTATCTAATTATTATTTTAATTAATTTCTAATATTTTATATTGATTATGCTTACTAAAAATGCCTACTTTAACATATTTCGAATTTTTTTTATAGAGAAGAGTGAAGTGGTAGGACGATCAAGGGAAAAAATGTAATTTTATAGTAATAAAAATATTTTAATAAAGATAGCAAGAGAAACAAATAATTTTAGAAACATTTCTTTGTATATGAAAGTATTTGTCAATTCATTAAGTTTCTAGAATGTTTATTTCTATGTTATGATATCATGTAAGTTGTAATAGATTTATAATGACAAAACAACCAAATATATTTTTCTAAAGGGCATGTGTATCATAATGATGTGACATTAATATGAACCCACATTTTCAATCATACTTTAATAATATAGACTTATTTTAATGAGATAGTTGTCATGACCAAAAAATGGACGTGATGACACTCGTCTTATCCCACCAAGACAAGTCAGCCTAATACTCGACCATGAAAATAAAATGCGAAAGTTTCATAATTTACTCAAAATATCCCCCAAAATTTGGATGTCACGTGTACAAGCCTCTAAAATATTAACAATTGATTGAAAGAAAAAAAATAAGTCTCAAATGACATTGTTTCTTGAGTAGAACAAGATCATAAATAGGAGTAATTAGGTTTTCTGATATAACAAGCATCTACCTCACAATTCTCCACAAGAAGCCTCGGACAAAGAGAAGTGAAATATTACAAAGGTCCAGGTTAGTAACCTACAAAAAATTGTAGAAGTAAAGGGTGAGTACCAAACCACACGGTACTCAATAAGTAAACTTCTAAACAAAGCTAACGGGATAAAATACAGATACTCCTTACACACCAACCGAACCTCCACAACTACAATCTGCATAAAACTCAGGACAACTGTTTACAGTTTTCATAGCACCCAACTTATCAAAAATCATTTCAACAAATTTGCACATCCTCAACTACAAACTCAATATTCAACAATTACAACTTTCACAAAAAGTCACTCACAATATAAGCAATATACAAGATCAAGTTCGTCAAAAAGAGGTAATCAAATACCAATACTTTACAACCACCAGTAAAAACTATAATCATCAAGAATGAAGGATGTCATGGGATCCAATGCAATATGATACCATGAAATGATATGCTTCAGACTATCAATTTCTGTCTCAAACGTATATACATGATACTCCTCGGAAATACACCGAGAATTCATGACCCATGGGGGACTCGCGTGGTCAATATACCGAGACAGACGATATCCATGTGTCTGTACGGACAATCTCAACGCATTATCATAATCAAATAAATTTTGCACGAACGATCTCCACGTGCCCAAATCATAATTATAATATTTCTATCGCACAGACGATCTTCACGTGCCCAAATAATCATAACTCGATCTCAACACAGATGATCTTCACGTGTTAGACCTTTACTCATACCCAATCTCATATAAATGCATGTGCACAAATTATGTCAAATAAAGGAGATAATGCAACATCACAATAAATCAAATGTATCTATGACATATAATCACCTCAATTATCACAATTATACGGGTTCAATAAGAAACATAATCACACATAAAAAATCCAGTCAGCAATATATCAACTAATACCCATATGCTTTGACATTCTCGGATTACAATCCTCATTCTATAGTAATAAACCTTGCCTTTATTACACAGGTACTTGTACCATTCTCAACATCACACACAAACAATCAATCAAATTGCCTTTTTTTTAATTCCTTTTCATCATTAGAATTAATAAAGGTTGAAAAGTCAACCCCACAAATTCCTATTACTCCGAAACACATACCACAAGAAAATACAAGCATTCTATACACTTAGCAAGAGTTTAGAAATTCACTTGCCTTAAATAGTCGAACAATCACTCTGAGACTTGAGTCTTCCCTATTCATTGAAGTTCCAACTCAAACAAATCTATTAAAATATTTGTCCATAATAAGATTTCAAAACTAACAAGACCGTACCACTACAGGCCTATACTAGACCTAAAAACTAATATAGAATTTATAATCAAGTTATCCTAATTTGGACACTAACTAATAGGTCAACTCTATGAGGTTCTTTTCCAAATTTCAAGCCTAAGATTTTGTCTTAATATACAAATAATATAAAGTTAATTGTATATCTTAATATATCAAAACTTAATTCATAATGTGATAACAGTAAAAAGAAATTCAAATCAAAGTTTATTAAGTGAAGTAAACATATTAAATCTAAATCACAGGAACCCTAAAATCAATCCCTCAAAATTTCCTCTACGTATGACTGTTGGATTTATCTTATAATATAACATATTCCCTAATGACATTGCAATCATCATGCCACCCAAATAAATAAAAATTGAGTCTAATAAATTTGACTCTTCATGATGCACACAAACCCACATATAATACTTAATCCATACTATTAATTTTCTTCTTTTTTTTCTAAATTTCAAAATCACTTTTTCCTATTTTCTTTTTGACTCCAACATTAAAATAATAATTATAATTATATGGCTGCACAATAATTAGAACAATACTTTGTTACCTCAAAAAGTCTTAGATTTTCTAGTATTATATAGAAGCATGATGAAGTAGGACGATCAACGACAATTTATAATTATGTTATGTTACAAGGGTAAAATAGTAATTACACATGATTGATATTTTATAAAACCAAATTACTCTTTCTTTTCATTTCCAATTGTTCTAGATCTTTTTCCTCAACTTCTAGATTATTATTATTAATAAACAATTGCCAACGCCTCATAGACAAAATTATGGAGCATCTCCCTCAAATCTCTTCTTCTCCTAACGGTTCAACGCTTATGGATTACGAGTTAAATCATCTATACTGTTAAATATCCCAATTGGAAACACACGACATGGAAGAGGAAGAGAATCTATAAAGCATAAACGCCAAATATTTATGAAATTTATCCATGTCAGGTGAAGAGCAATATGATACAGTTTTGGTTCTTTAGATCCTTGATTTATTTTATTATATGCTATGTAATTTCTGAGTTGTGATATTGTTGTCCAGCTATAGCTGTGTAATTTCATGGCAGGGGGGAATTGTGGATCCTTTAAATGAGGCCTCTTTTTGTTAGTTTGAGGGGAATTACACATCCTTTTCTGAGGTTTACCGTCTCTATATTTTATCACTTTCAATTTCTTGTCAATGACTTTTTCAAACTCTCATATTTTTATTTTAATGGTGTGTTGTCATGACTCTATGCTCTAAGGTTATGTTGTTATTATTTGTTTGTTTGTTTGCTTAGGAGTTATAGATTTTTATTTTAAGGTTTGAATGAAAATTGGGGGTTTAAGAGTAAAATTATATTCTCTCATTCCAAAGGCTGATCAAGCAATCAAAAAAGTCACCAAATGCACATAGGATTTTTGCCCAGGAGTTAAATTCCTCATGTGTTCTTGAGATATGTATAAATTATACTCTATTTTTTTTATTAATTCTTTTAAGATATATCCTCTTTTACATTCTTTTTTCTCAATTTCCGTTATAATATTTTACTTCATTTTTCGAGTTGATTGGGATAGATTTTAGATTTCATTTGGGAACTTATGTGCTCAATGTATATTGCTCCTTCTGAAGGGATGCACTTTTATCATACAATTCGTAGGTGTATGTTTTTTGCTATATTTGTGAATTAACAACAATTGAGAAATTAATGAAACTTAAAGATTTAAATAAATATGGTTGGGTCAAAGCCTATGCCAGGTTTATGAAATTGCAAAAATATGGGTACACAAAACAACATGGACAAACTAATATTATGAAGTTATACTCTAGCACTGCAGTTTAAAGTGTGAAAAATATTTCATATCTTGTATGCATAGCAATAATGAAAATAAAGGAAATTATTGTATTTCTTGCCTATATTTTATCTTTAAAGTTGTATATATTTTGTATATTTAAATCACTTTTATGTTCTATTTTTGAGTATATTTAATCACTAGGAATGTTGTTTAAATGAATTAAATAAAGAATCAAGTTTATTTTATGTTGTAATAGGTATAAACTTTATACTTATAAGAAAGAATAAATGAACTTGATTGTTCTTTTGCTCAGTCAATTCTATATATTGCATCTAGCAATTGTTGTTAAAAATTTATGTAAATATGTTTTTTTCAGAAGCATATCCAAAAATAGCGATGAGAGTCTATCGAAAAACAACTCTCTACCTTCACAAAGTAGGGGTAAGGTTGCTCACACACCACTGTTTTGATTTACCAAAAAGAACAATCTTTTATGTTCATTAGCATACAAACACTTTACTCTTGGACCTCCAAAAATTAGAACGTGCTTAAAATATTGTACTCTTGATATTTTGCATAAACAAATGTCATTTTTTTTAATGTAGAGGAATGTCAATCCAACTGCTATGGAAAGGATAACTTGACGAAACATTTCTTGCGGCAGCAGAGGAAGTTGTTTGAGTTTCCACATGGAGACCAACATATTGTGTGTGAAATATGTGGAACCAAGGGGCATCATCACACAGATAAATGCGCCTACTTTGGATAGAATGAAATGTGAGTTCCAAGACTATCAACACACTTTCTCAATCACAAGGGACTAAAATTTCTTAGATGTAGTTGAAGTTTTTTTGGTTAAAGTAACAATTTATTTCATTAATATAAAAAGCCATATAACAAATTCATTAAAAGTTCAAGGAGAAATTCATAGATAGCTAGCGACAGTTTTAAACCTTAAGGATATCATTATATCAAGTTGTTGTTACGAAAAGATGACTATATCAGTAATTTGACAGCCTTTTCGACCTCAGTTTATCAGTAATTAAAAAATATAGACAAAAACAGTTTATTCAAAAAATTTTCGTTATATTTTGTATAGTCTTGCCTTCAAAATTTGTATTTTTGACGTAATGATCAAGCTTTAGATAAATTAGATCAATCAATGGTGAGATTTATGGATTTCTTGCATTTTTAAGAACCAAATTTTTGTTTTATTATTTTATTTGTCTTTACTTTGATAGAATTATGTATAATTACACTTCTATTGGAACATTGTTCTTATTAGCAGATAGTTCTTATTTGAACGGAGGGAGTGTAATCATACATAAACTCTACCAAAGTGAAAACGGACGGAGGGAGTGTAAACAGGGACAAACTTATCATATCTTACTTTTAATTTGTCCTTATTTTGGTAAAACTAAATTATTTTATTTGTCTTTACTCTGGTAGAACTATGTAAAATTAAGTACAATAATTATTATATTGATTGTAGCATAATTTTCTGTTCCTCTGTAGTCATGGCATCTTACATTCTCCAAAATTCAAGCTCAAAGTTGTGAGTGTTGAATTGATTTTTGAAGTTCTTGCCTAATATATATATATATATATATATATATATATATATATATATATATATATATATATATATATATATATATATATATATATATATATATATATAT